ATATATATATGCAGAGATCAAAGGGCAACTTGTGGGAATCTGTTCTCTCCCTCTAACATGTGGGTCCCAGGGATTGAGTTTGTCTTGGCAGCAAGCACCTTTACTTGCCTAGCCATCTTGCTGGCCCAAGTAGAGTTATAATCTGAGAAAGTAAGAATTTGGCTGGAGAAGTAAAGGGCTGGCAGCCCATTTGAGGTTGGTGGCATGTTTATGCTACAGGCACATGCCTCAGTTGAATGCCTTCTCCAGTGTGGTCCAGCTTACAAGCCATGTCTAGATTTTTCCAGAGTTCAAGTTTTACACATGGATGTAAATGGAAGGAAATAAAAGGCCAGGAGTGCATGTAGGGATGGAACACAGGATTGAAGGCAGGAGGGGAAGATGGGTTGGGAAGTGTGATTAGGTAGGGTTGGCAGTCTTGATATATTATTTGTCAAAAGATACACGCACAGACAAGCTGAAAAGGCAGGGTATCGGTTAAAAGTGCTCAGCTGAGCCCAGGTGTGGTCATGCCTTTAATCCCAACACTTTGGAGGCAGAGGCAGATAGATTTCTGAGCTTGAGGCCACCCTGGTCTACACAGCAAGCTCCAGGCCACACACACACACACACCACCACCACCACTACCACCACCACCACCGCTACCACCCCATACTGATGGTCCTGAAGGCAGCATGGCCTTTGATAAGATCCTGTATTGGGGGCAGGAAGACCTGAGTTTTGAACTGTACCACCCACATAAAAGTCAGATGTGATGCATCCTGTAATTCTGCTGTGGGGAGATGGAGACCTGAGGAAATATGGAGCCCACTGATCAGCCAGCGAGCTCTAGATTCACTGAGAGAGCCTGTCTCCATAACATGAACAGCAACATAGACACCTGATGTTGACCTCTGCCTCCACGTGCATACACATGCATAGCTCATACACACACACACACACACACACACACACACTCACTCACTCACTCACTCAGATATGGATTTTACCAACTGAGCTTTCATGAGCAGAGTAGGGATTTCTCTTCACCTAAGAGTGGTATGGCTGGGTCTTATGGTAATCGATTTCAGACTTTTTGAGAAATCTCTACACTGATTTCCACAGTGGCTGCACCAGTTTTCATTCCCACCAGCAGCAGATAAGAGTTCTTTTTCCACATCCTCACCAGCATCTATTGTTTGGGGGGTTGTTTTTGGTTTGGGGGGAGTTTGGGTCTTTGCCATTCCGAGAGGGATAAAATGAAATCTCAAAATGGTTTTAATCTGCATTTCCCTGATGACTAAAGATATTGACTATTTTTTAAACATTTCTCAGCCATTTGTGTTTCTTTTTTAGAGAACTCCTTGTTTAGCTCCTTGCCCCACCTCTTAACTGGTCTGTTTGGGAGTTTTGTGCTAAGTTTTTTTAGTTCTTTGTCTATTCTAGACACCGTTTGTCAGGGGTATGGCTGGTAAAGATTTTTTCCCATTCTGTGGGTTACCTCTTCACTCAAATGATGTCTGCCTTTTCTCCATTGTGTATTTTGGCTCCTTTGTCAAAAACCAGGTGGCTGTAAATGTTTGGATTTAAATCTGGGTCAGTTCTATTCCACTGATCCAATATGTCTGTTTTTATAAGTACCATGCTGTTTTTATTACTATAGCTCTGTAGTATAATTTGAGATCAGGGATGTTAATGCATCCAGCAGTTCTTTTATTCAGGATTATATTGGCTGTCCTGTGTTTTTCTTGTGTGTTTCATATGAAATTTGGAATTGTTTTAATTTCTGTGAAGAACTCTATTGGAATTTTAGTAGGTATTGCATTAAATTTGTTGATTGCTTTTGGTAGGATGGCCATTTTCACTAGAACTTTTATGTGTGTGTTCATGTGTCCGCCAATGCACACACATCTGCACTGGATGTACACATGTATGTATATGCCTATACATGTGGAGGCCAGAGGTCAGCCTCTGGTGGTGGTCCTCAGGACAACTGTCCATCTTGTTTGCTAAGGCATGACTTCTCATTGGACCTGAGGATTGCTAATCCAGCTAAGCTGGCTGGCCAGTGAGCCCAAAGATATCCTCTCGTCTCTGGCATCCCCAGCACTGAGATTACAGGGGTATACCACCACCATGCTGGGCTTCTTAGTGTAGGTTGTGGGTATGAACTCAGGTCTTCATGCTTACATAGCAAGTATTTCATGGACCAAGTACTTCAAATACTCCCCAGCACTTTTATTTTCAAAAAGATTATTATCTTTATTTGAAAATTGCATGCATGTATCCAATATATGTTGGTCATATTCACACCCCACTTCCTCCAGCCCCCTCCATCAGTCCCCCCCCCAGTCTGCCTCTCAACTTCATGTCCTTTGGTAAGTTAATGACCCACTGAGTCTTATCAGTGCTGCTCATGTGCACATGGATGTGGGGCCATCCACTGGGATACAGACAAAACCTACAAGTGGCCACATCCCCAAAGAAAAGTGACTGCCTCACCCCAATAACCATCTACTGCCAGCATCTCCTCCACTAAGTGTGGGACCTCAGGAGCTCTTCCCCATCCATGTCTGTCCCTGGCCATTGTAGTCTATGGGGAATTGCCGGGGAGGGGCATGAATATGATCAAAATACAATATATGAAATTCTCAGGTTTTTTTAAGAGGAGCTGGAGAGATGGCTCAGCAGTTAAATATACTTGGTACTCTTGAAAAGGATCCAGTTCCCAACACCCACATGGAGGCTAACAATCATCTATAACTCCCTGTAACCATCAGTTCCAGCGAATCTCATGTCCTCTTCTGAGCTCCATGGACATTGCTTGACAAGGGTTCACTTATATACATATGGGTAAAACACTCATACACACAAATCATAAAAATTAAAATAGAAGGACTGGAAAGATAACAGTTAAGAGTACTTGCTGCTTTGAAGAGGACCCAGGTTTAATTCTCAGCACCCATATGGCAGGCAACATTACAACTACCTGTAACTCCAGTTCCAGAGGATTCAGTGCCCTCTCCTGATCTCTTTGGGCTCCTGCACACATGTGGTACACATGCATCTACTCAGTCTCTCTCTGTCTCCCTCTCTCTCTCTCTCTCTCTCCCTCTCTCCCTCTCCCCCTCTCCCCCTCCCTCTCCCTCTCCCTCTCCCTCCCTCCCTCCCTCCCTCCTTCTCCTCACTGGGTACTGCCTGTAACTCAGTGTGTAGATCAAGCTGGTCTCAGACTCAGAGATCCACCTCCCTCTGCCTCCTGAGTGCTCAGATTAAAGGCATGCACCACCATACCCTACCTAAATACATTTTTGACTTTTACGTGTATGAGTTTTGCCTGCGTGTATGTCCATGCAGTGCCCACGAAGACCAGAGGGTGTTGGATTCCCTGGTAATTGGAGTTACTAACAGTTAGTTACCATGCAGGTACTGGGAACCTAACTCAGGTTCTCTGCAAAAGCAGCCGGTGCTCTTAACCACTGAGATATCTCTCCAGCCCCCACCCCTTTTTGTAATATTTTTTTAAGCAAGGTGTGCTGGTGTATGCCTTTAATTCCAGCACTTGGGAGACAGAGGCAGGCTGACCTCTGTGTGATCGCTGTGAGACCCTGTCTCAAAAGGACCAATAATAACAATTATTATCATTTTATTTAAAAAAATATTTTAAAAAGAGTTCATGAGGTTTGTAGTCCTTGGTCTGGTTTCCAGGACATCTGGGGAAGGGGAAAAGTCCAAAGCTAGGTCCCAGAATGACAGTGTCCTTTCTCCCCAGCCTGTGGAAGAAAGAGTATCATGCCCAGGTGAGAAGACAGTTGGAGGAGCTGCAGCTTCTCAAGCCACACATGATGATCAAAGGTGACTGGTATTCCTTTGATGAGGATGACCGGTGTTGGTGGAAAAACTGAAGTCGTGAAGCTGCTCCCCTTTGACACCAAAGCTCCCGTTATCTGTGGAAATGTCTGCCCCACCTCAGAGCGTGTAACAGACAGGACTAAAATAAACACTTAGCATTTGGAAAAGCACCCAGTGGTTATGTTCACCAGTGGGGATATGATTTAAGAGCAGAGGTAAGGGGACTTGGAGATGGCCGAGTTGGTAAGGTACTTGCCGTGCAAACATGAAGGCCATAGTTTGAGGCACAGAATCCATGTAAAAACTGGGCATGGTGGCATCTGCTTGTAATGTAATACCCTCAGAGAGTGCCACGCAGTTTGGGGTCAAATCAGGAGTCCTTTATTAGCTGGAAGTCAGGGGTCTAATGCTCAAAAGACCTTTGGACCCTGAGGAGAAGCAGGGCAGGGTTTATACAGCTTAAAACCACAATTACATCATGCCAGGGGCAAAGCCAATCACCATAGTTACATCAGATCACCATAGATACATCAGACCAGGGGCAATTCAGTTAACAAAGAGGTTTTCAGTTAACAAAAAGTTTTGGTTAGGCTGGGAGGGAGGACGTGCTCCCTGGACTTGCTCCTGGCTACTTGTACGTTTCCCAGTATTGTAGAAACAATGCGCTCCCTGAACCTGCCTGCATGAGACGTTCTGCCTGGCAGGCTGCAGTGGGAAAGACTGGACAAACGCACAGGGCAAAGCAAAAATCAGAACAAGACAGAATTAGTTTTGCCGTGTCAGTAATACCTGCACTGGGAAGGCAGGAAGGTCTTACTTTCTCCTTGCGGTAATAAAACACTCTGACAAAAGTAACGGAAAGGAGACAGGGTTTGGGCTCACAGATCAGAAGGAACATAGTCCACCATGGCAGAAAAAACATGGTGTCAGGAGCAGGAGACTGATGGATCACATCACATCCTTGGGAAACAGAGGGATGAATGTGTGCTGTTCATTTCCCTTTCTTGGTTCATACAGTCCAGGACCCCGGCCGGGGATGGTTGCACCCACAACGAGTGGGTTTTCCCCACTCAGTGCAATCAAAATAATCCCCACAGCATGCTCAGGTGATTTTAGACTGTGTCAAGTTGACATCATCACACAAGTGCATCTGTGGAGCTCACTGGCCAGCCTGTGTGGAGAGTTCCAGGCCAGTGAGAGACCCTGTCTCAAAGGTGGACAGCACCTGAGGAGTGGCACTTGAGGTGGTCCGCTGGCCACCACATGTACATGCACACAATGCAGAGGTGGGGAGGGTTTCTATCCTCAACAGGGCCCCCACATTCTCAGCACGTGTGCTGGTTGTGAAACACATCTGGGAATCAAAGGTTAAGGAAACTACCAGTGTATTTTTCTGTTGCTGTGACAAAGCACTGATCAAAATCAATTTGGGGAGGAAAGGATTTAATCTTAGTACTTCCAGGTCACAGTCCATCACTGAGGGAAGTCGGGGCAGGTACTGCTACTGGCTTGCTTCCCCAGGCTTGCTCAGCTGTCTTACACAGCCCAGGCCCACCTGCTGAGGGTGGCCCCACCCACAGTGTGCTGTGCCCTCCTATCTCAGTAAACAATTATGAAAATGTCTGCTATGCCCAGAGGCTAATCTGATGGAGGAAATTCCTCAGTTGAGGGTCCTTCTTCCCAAGTGACTACTTGGTGTCAACTTGATTAAAAACTAGCACATCACTCAGCATCTGAACAACAGGCACAAAGCTGGATAGATTGTGGTGAAGGATGGGTGCTCTGCTAGTCTCTAAGAAGAGCCTGCTGCTGGCCATCTTAGGGAGGGTTCTAAGGAAGCATGGAGATCAGGAACTGAGTATCAAACCTGGAAGATGACCCACAAATGAGACTGGTGGACAGTTGGGTGTGTTCATCAGTGAATCCCTTCCTGATTGGCTGAGTTTCTGAAGCAAAGGGCAGCCTTGGTTGGCCTGAAGAAGGATGTTCACTGGCAAGTTGTCTTGGATAAATTGGATGGGTTTAAGCCAGTTTGGGTAGCTCCTTGGTACCAGGGATAGAGAAAAGTTGGGCTGACTGTCAGAGGTCTGGGGATGTGGCTCAGTAAAGTGCATGCTTAGGATACACAAAGCCCAGGGTCCATCCACAGCAGTGTATAAACCAGGCATGGTGATGCACGCCTGTCATCCCTGTTTCTCTCCCTTACCCCATCCTGGGGCTGGGGAGATGGCTCAGTGGCTAAACACTAGCTATTCAAGCATGAGGACCTAAGTTTGGATCCCTAGAACCCACATGAAAACCAGGTGGGCCTGGCAGCCATCTGGAATTCTAGTGGCGGAGGGTAGAGACAGGATCCAAGGCACAAGGTGGCCACCAAGAGCAGCCACTCCATTGAGCGCTGGGTTTGACTGAGAGACCCTGTCTCAGTAAGATGGAAGAATGATCAGAGGAAGGTTCTGGACATTAGCCTTGGGCTTCCACATGTACCCACACATTCATGTGCACCCACACACACATGCCATGCACAGCCACACATATACCACACATGAAAAGTGAACAAAGACTCTGTTCCCCCTAGACCATAGTGCTGCTGGGTTTGTGTGGAACATACATGATGTGTATCTGCAGATACCCACAGCACCTTAAAGGGAGCTACTGTTTCTCTCCTATCTCACAGATAAGGAAGTTGAGGCATAGGATGTCTGAGAATGTACAAGGAATGGGCAGTAGACCCATCACTCAAAGACCTATTTCTAGACTCCATACTCACACCTGGAGTATTAGGGGAGCATTCAACCCCTCCCACATGATGACCTCACAGTGGTCAAACTGCTCTGTTTATAGACCCATAATTCAAGCGTCATTTCTGAACCCTGAGAATGTTCAAAATTTGTTCCTTATAAGAGCAAATCAGATGACTGACCCACCTCTCCCCTGACATCCCTTCCTTTTTTGTTTAAGACAGGGTCTCACTTTGCAGCCCTAGCTGACCTGGAACTTACTATGTAGACCAGGCTGGCCTTGATTTCACAGACATCTGCGTGCCCCTGCCTCCTCAGTGCTACGATTAAAGGTGTGTGCCACCAATCCTGGCCTGACAGCCCTTCTAATGTGGTGATGAAAAGCTTATTTCACAGGTTACTGAGATGACTTAGCAGGTAAAGGCCTTTGTCACCAAAACTGATGGCCTGAGTTCAATCCCCAGGACTTACATAGTGAAAATTGGGGATTCTTGCCCATTTCCCCAGTTCTATGCTGGGTTTCTGTCTGGCGTGAGTTTGCATGGGTCTTGTGCATGCTGTTGCCATTGCTCTAAGTTTATATGAGCCAGTTCTGAGAAGCCTAGAAGTTGTTTCTTTGTGGTCATGCACCACCCCTGGCTCTTACAATCTTTCTGCCCCCTCTTCTGTAATGGCCCGAGCCCTGGGTTGGTTGAGGTTTAATACAGGAGTCCTATCCAGGGTCCCATTATGCAGTCTCTTATTCTCTACATTTTGGTCAGTTGTGGCTTTCTGTGTTCATCACCCTCTGTTGCATGAGGAAGCTTCGCTGACTGAGAGTTGAGAGATGCATTAGTGTTCTCTCTACCCCTGTTCCACTGTGTTCTATGAGTCTTAGGTATAGCGCTTCCATTACAGATATATCACTTAGGGCTGCTGCCTCAGTCCCTTGAGTGCTGGGATGACAGGCTTGTGCCAGGACCCCTGGCTACAAATGTGTTTGTATTCAACACATGCATTCATGGAGGCTGTACCCATGGGTCTATGTGTCAGATGGTCACGGTACCAATACCAATAGTATTCTGAAGGTGGATTGAGACTTCTTTAACTTGGAGGGTTATCAAAGCCCCCTCCGCCCCCACATTCCCCCGTAGATCATATCACATTGGCCCAATGTTCAAGGGTTATGTAACGTAAACTCCCCCAGGATGTGACGGGCATTCCTGCAAAGAAACCACAGAGGGAGGATGATGCTAACAGCATCTGCACAAACTGCAGGGCTGATCCCTCTACCCCTGAAAGAACTTTAAATGCTAGGTAAGAGAGAGTTGTTCTTTAAAAGAGTGATGCTAGACAGGCTGACCAGGCTCTAGTGGATGAACTCACACCGAGGGACATCTGGATACACAAACTTGACTCAATAGGCCTTAACATATATGACAGAATGGGTGCTTAGCATGTTCAAGGTCCTTAGTTCAATGCCCCGCATAAATTGTTGCCAGGCACAGTGGTGCACGCCTTTGATCCCAGCACTCAGAAGGCAGAGGCAAGCAGATCTTTGTGAGTTCAAGGCCAGCCTGGTCTACATAGTGACTTCCAGGCCAGCTGGGGCTACAGGGAGACCCTGTCTCAAAAAGACCAAAAAAAAAAAAAAGATGCATTGTATGAAATGAACAAAATTTATATATACGTGTGTGTGTGTGTGTGTGTGTGTGTGTGTGTATGAAGAGGCTGAGGTAAGAGGGTCATGAGTTTAAAACCAACCTTGTCTTCTAGCAAGTTCTAGGTAAGCCTGGACTGCACAGAGAGTCTGGGGCTGTAGCTCAGTTGGTAGAGTTCTTGTCTATCAAACACAAAGTACTGGGTTCGATCCCTAGCACTGCATTAATCTGAGCATGGTGGTACTTACCTGTAATCCCAACACCCAGGAGATGGAAGCAGGAAGCTCAGAAGTTCAAGGTCACCCTCAGCTATATAGTGAGTTCAAGGCCAGCTTGGAGTACATTAGGCTCTGTTTCAAAATTAATTCCAGAAGTATAGGATGAGGCAATGATAATCCATACCACCCCTGGAAGCTGGGTTTTGGGCCCAGGCTGACAGAAGAGGACAGCAGAGACCCTGCTCTCTTAAAGCTCATTCCAAATACAGGGACAAAGTCAAATAAACATTGCAGATGTTCACACAGACACAGTGACAGGCTAACAAGACAGTGGAGACTGAAGGGGCCACTTTTTTCTTTCTTAAAACTTATATGTATGTAAGTGCACCCATGTCATGCCATACATGTGAAGCCCAGAAGAGGGCATCAAATTCCCTGAAACTGGAGTTACAGGTGGTTGTTAGCCATCATGTGGGTGCTGGGAACTGAACCTGGGTCATCAGCAAAAGCAGCCAGTGCTCTTAACCATTGAGCCACCCCTCCAGCCCCAACTTTGAACTTTTGATCCTCCTGCCTCCACCCACTTTTTCTTATTTAAGATAATAACTCATGTAGCCCAGGCTGGCCTCAAACTTGCCATGTATCTAAGGATGACCTCGAAGTTGTAATCATTCTGTCTCTAACTCCCTAGTGCTGGATTACACCTGTATACCACCACATCTGTTTTATGATACCGAAGACCAAACCCAGAGTCTTTTGCATGGTAAATGAGCACTCTTCCTACTGAGCCACATCCTCATTTCATGATATGTCTAAATTTAACAAAAAGCCAGGATGGGAGGAGCTGGAGAGATGACTTAGTGGTGAAGAGCACTGTCTGCTCTTGCAGAGGCCCCATGATCAGTTCCCAGCAACTATATGGTGGCTAACAACCATCAGTAACAGCAGTTCCAGGGGATCCAACACCCTCTTCTGTTTTCTATAGGCACTGCACAACATAGGTGAACTTACATACCTGCAAGCAATACACTCATACACATAAAAAAAAATTAAAAGAATTTTTTAAAGCTAGGCACAGTGGGACACACCTTTAATCCCAGCACTCACGAGGCTGAGACAGCAGTTACCAGGAGTTCGAGACCAATCAGGGGCTACACACTTGAGTTCTAGGCTAGTGAGACTGTCTTTTAAAGAAAGTCAACAAGGCCACTTCCAAAGATAAAAGCCAAGGACCAAAGGTTCCAACTCTCGGGCTACTTCTCCACCTGTCTGCGGAGAACAGCTCCTGCTGGTGCCCAGGAACCAAAACCACCCTCAGGAACCAAAGTCCCATACCCTCCTCCATGGCCAAAGCCAACTCAGAAAGGTTGAAGTTCTCAAAGAACTAATTGATTACCATACTCATACTGTGCCCCAAAAGTTGACTTCCTGATTTTGCATTTGATTTATGCAAAAAAAGAGCCAGTGGAGGACAGGATTCTCCAGGGGGTGACATTGGCCAGTGTGATAACATTGCATTGATCTGGGCCCTTGGTACCATGGTTGGGAGGGACGAGGAGGGAGCTGCCGATTCTTTGCATTTTATTATAAATCTCAGCATAGGTCCCTTTCCTCACGGCTACCCACTTTGCCACATCCCTTGAAGTGTCATGTGTGCGCATGCGCAGCAGCAGAATAGCAACCCAAAGTGGAGATACCAAGTTCCTTTTAACTCCCACTTGGTGAAGCTCCGGAAGTTCCCCTCGTGGCCACCAGGTGGCGGCAGTTCACCGTGTCGCAACAAAGATGACCGGAAAGTGAAAGTCCTGCTGTTTTCAGTAGGTTAGCAGACGCTGGGGCTGTCTAGTTCTGGGTTGAGGGGCTTTCTGCAGACAGCTGGGTGCAAAGAAGCCTGTCGTCTACCCACCACATGCCAGGGACACCCACCTGCCTCCGATACAGCAACTGGAGTTCTCACTAGATGTTGCTGTGGGAGCACCACCTCCTCCATCTGGGCCGGCGAGCCACTGATCTACCCACATTAAGCTTGGCAATCTTGCTCAACAGCACCCGGTGGCATTTCCTTGACCCCTGCAGTGTAATAATACACACAGTCTGTGGCAGAAGGCATCTGCCAGTTTCCAACTCTGTCATGGAAGGTAACAGCCATTTAAGCATTGTCTTTTTAAAATATATATATTTATTTTGAAGCCAGTCATGGTGGTGCATGCCTTTAATCCCAGCACTTGAGAGGCAGAGAAAGGTACATCTCTGTGAGATCAAGTCCAGCCTGGTCTTCATAGCGAGTTCCAGAACAGCTGGGGCTACAGGGAGACCCTGTCTCAAAAATAGATGGTAGGTAGGTAGATGGATGGATGGATGGGTGGATGGATGGATGGATGGATGGATGGTAGATCACAGAAGATAGAAGATAGATAGATAGATAGATAGATAGATAGATAGATAGATAGATAGATAGATAGATAGATAGATAGATGGATGGATGATAGATCATAGATGATAGAGATTGATAGATGATGGATGGATGACAGATTGTAGAAGATAGATAGATATAGATAGATGGATGGATGATAGATCATAGAAGATAGAAGATATATGATAGATGGATGGATGGATAGATAGATAGATGATAGATAATAGAATCATTTTGTACACTAAATAAATTGTCCCTGTTTTGTACTAATTATCTCAAAAGACATTGTATGGGAGGAGGGACTAAGGAATCTAGGAGCTGGTAGGAAAGATTGGGTAGCATTTTCTTCCAAGTACTCATGACTTTTTTTTAATCCTATATGTGACCAAATATCAATCCCTCAGCCAAATTTCCTGGCATGGTTCCCATTAGTCCAAATAACTGTCCACCAAAACAGCCATCAAGGTAACTCAGTAGGTAAAGGCACCTGCCACTACCAAACCTGATGATCTGAGTTTGATCCCCAGAACCCACATGGTGGAAAGAGAACCTACTCCTGCAGTTTGTCTTCTGAACCCCACATGTGCACACAAACACATATACATACAATCAATCAAGATAATTCCATTTCTCTACCTCTAATGGGCTTAGATTCTGACAGTTAATCCCTGCTGTTTACCCACTGGGAGAGCTCGGCCACAGCACTTGACCTCCACAGACCTTGACTTCTGTAGCTCTTCCTCGTAGGGCAGGGCATAAGGTGGATGAGAGACTGGGATGCTGGTGGCTCTGAGCTGGGGGGCTCCATCACTGGAGACCCAAGGCAGGGCTCTGTCCATGGTGCTGACAGACGGAACTTAGCACTGCACCATGGGGCAGAAGAGGCAAAAATCAATGGGGCCAAAGACAGCCCCCTACCACCCTCAACTTCCCTGAGAGGTAGGCAGGATGGGTAGACGCCTAGCACACACTACATATGCACATGTGCACATACAAACACATGCACAGGGATATACATGCACATGAAGATCTACATACACAGGCACAAGCGCATGCACATCTTGTGAGGATGGCGGGAAGCACACCAGCCCCAAGGTGTTTTATGAATGGAAAGTTTCATGATCAGACAAGTTAAGAAAACATTGGGTCTGGAGAGATGGCTCAGTGGTTAAGAGCACTGACTGCTCTTGCAGAGCCCAGAGTTTGATTCCCATCACCACATGGCAGTTAACAATCACCTGTAACTCCAGTTCAGGGGATCTAATGCCCTCTTCTCACCTTTAAGGGCATGCACAAGTGCACTTGCATGCAGGCAATACACTCACATACATAAAATAAAATCTTGAATGCTGTATCCAAAACAGCTCTTCTGCCCCCTCCATCCCTCCTCCTCTTCTATCCATCCAGATATGTGCCAATCTCTGTCCTCAGTGTTAGAAAACTTGAATCCAGAATGCTCCCAAGTTACCTGAACATTCAACCATATTTTCTCCAAATATCCGTATTCCTTGGAACCTCCACGCTCTAGGACACCTTTGGGAAGCTGATACAAGTTATGAATGTTCCTGGATGCACGTCACACCTTCAGACTGAGATGGAAGGTGGGTGGAGACTTTCCTCTCACCCATGTCCATCTGCTCTGCATTCCCCAGGCCCCTCTCCAGGTATCTGTAACATTCTTTCGGGTGTGTCTCCCCTCACCCAGAAAGACAAGCTCCCTGAGGGCACAGGCTGTGGTTGTCAAGACCACCATTGTGTCCCTAATGCTTAGCTGAAACCCTGGCATATAGCAAGTGCTCAGTAAACCTAGTAAGAAGATGATTGATGGGGGAGTGTGTGGGTTGGGAACTGTGGACTCAGGAGTGCTCTGCCTCACACACTGCCTCACCTCCATGCCAGCTACAGCAGCAGCTCTGTGTAAGAGCTGCCTAGCGCTGGGCCAGGGAGGTGACTCAGTGAGTAATGAGGCCTAACACGGCCTGAGTTTGAGCTCTGGGATCCACATGGTGGAAAGAGAACTGAATCATGCAACTTGTCCTCCTACCTCCACACATGAGCCATGGCATGGAGAGAAAGGGGGGGGGTGAGAAGAGAAGAGAAGAGAGAGAGAGAGAGAGAGAGAGAGAGAGAGAGAGAATGAGAATGAATATGTAAAACAAATTTGGAGACGTGTGGACTCGAGGGCACAGGGCCACCAAATGGCATGGCTTGCACATAAGGCAGCACCAATGGTGGTAGTCGTTGCTTCTAGTTCTGCTGCTCCTGACTTAAAGAGCTCCACCTGTCTACCTGCACAGCAGGGCAGCTACCACTCAGACTGAGAGGCTAGCGAGTTCCACAAGGAGAAAAATGCATATTTCTTCATTATTTTTATGAGTGTATTGCCTGCGTGTATGTAAGTGCACCCATGTCATGCTATGCTTGAAGAAGTCAGACGAGGGTGTCAGAGCCCCTGGAACTGGAGTTAGCTGTCATGTGGGTGCTGGGATTCAAGCCTAGGTCCTCTGGAAAAGCAGCCAGTGCTCTTAACCACTGAGCCATCTCAGCCCTGAAAATGCATTTCTTTCTTCTCCCAAGCACCCAGTGTGTGGCCTGACAGGTCAGGGGGCTGCTGCTAGAAATGTTAAAGCCCACACCTGGTCTGGCATTGGGGGACCCTGGCCTAAGCATGTAGACATGTCAGCTAAGTGAATTCTCTTGTTAACTGAAGTATACCTCTGCATTAAGTTCTGTGAACTGAGGCCCACCCCACTCCTGCCTGGAGGCCCTGTGATCACACAGTAGGCTCAGACAACTCCCAACAACATATGAGACAAGCAAGTCTTCCTTCCAGACAGCAGGAAACCAAACCCAGGGTCAGAGAGGTTGATTCACCTGCTCATTGTAACCTATAAGCATGGCAAAAATTGGTCTTGAATCTTTCCCTCACTGAGTGGCAGTCTGGCTTGTCAAAGGCTAACCTCTACAATAACAGGCTATCTTCCTTCCCTCTCTGGCCTCCAAGAGTGTTAGAGGTCAGCATTTGGCAGAAGGAACCTAAAGGCACAATGTTTCCCCATCTTTATTAACATGTGCCTGCTTCAAACAAAATGTCACCTTATTTTGGCACAGAAACTTCCAGATAAGCAAGATCACAGTGCCACTGGCCCAGGGCAGGTAGTGGCCACCTGTTTTCCCAACCCACAATCACTCTGCTAAATCTTCGTGGGGGTCAGGCTCTGGTCCACCAGTTGTCCATCATGACCTTCACTTGTGAGCCTCCTGGTGTCCAGATGGGACAGGAATTTGGGCACTCAATGGACACACTTCCTCCTGCAACACCCTCCAGTGTGAAGCCTCTCACCCTCAGGGTGGGTTAGAGAAGCCTGCAGTCCACCTCTAGTGGCCCCAAGGCCCCTTGTGATAGAAAGCTGCAATGGTTCTTGGGACACTGGTGTGGCACTGGGCAGCACCTGGGCATGCAGTGGGAACAACCAACATCCAGTCCTTCTGGTCCTGGGTCCCCAGACATCTACCAGAAGCTCATCCTCCTGCCAACGCCCATTTCATCTCTGGACAACAGCCGCCCAGGTGCAGCCTGCTCTGTGGAGGACATGGCTGCCTGGCTGGCTAGTAACAGGAGCTTGGGCAAGGGAAGGGTGTGCCATTTCTAGGTCTTCCAAGAAGCACAAGGCAGGAGCCGGAGCCTGCACCCTTTGACGAAGAACGTGCCTGGATGCCTCTCCCAGGAGGGCAAACCCTCTGAACAGTGACCCTACGCCAGGTCAGCAAGGGCTTCCGCAGCAGGCCTCTCTCCTCTGGGCCAGGCCTGCACACTTTCTGCGGCATATAGTCTGGGCATGAACTGAGGGCTGCCCACCCTTATCTGGCCTGTCATCTCTGTCCCATTGCAGTGGGGTGGGTTCATTTAACCTTCCCATCTCCCTCCCAAACTCAAGAACCACGCCGTCCTGGGACAATTGAATAGTGCCATTTATTGCCCCCGCACCCTTTTGTCCACTGTCAGGTCGGGAACGCCTAAGCGCCTGGTCCTCTCAATGAGGCTGCTCCAGGAGCAGGAGGCTGCTACCTCGCTCCTCCTCCGCTACCCCGAACCCTGGAGGGAGAGGAACGACTTGGGCTACAAAATCAACAGGACCCACCCGGCAATAAAAATGACTAGGAGGGGTCAAGAAGGTAGGTATGATTAAAAGAAAATTCTAAAAGGGAAGAGGACCCTCTGGAGGCAAAGGCCCAGGATTCCCTCCACTCCTCGATGTGGCAGCCTCCGGGAGGGTCTCGTCGCCGATTGGTCTCTACAGTTCTCTCATTGTCCATCTCGGGCTGGGAGCCTACACAGGGTGAGTCGGCTACGGGTCTGGAGAGATGCTGGGCAGTCCTGAGGGCCAGCGCGGGTCGAGGTGGACAGGAAGCCCAGGCTGCGCTCCCCTCGGTCCGGTCCAGCCGTCCAGGGCCTCTTGGTCGCGTGGTCCCCGCCGAGCCCGAGGGGCCCTGCCCACCCCCCGGGCGCCCCCACCCCTACCGGGCCTCCCCGGCACGGCATTCAGGGCAGCGCGCACCGGCCGCCGGGTCCTCGTCCTCGTCCTCCCCGCCCGCGCGGTAGAAGCTCTGTCCGCAGCCGCTGCAGACCGCGGGCGCCCCGACCGCGTGCACCTTCTTGTGTCTCCGCAGCGCGGCGCCCTGCACGAAGCCCTCGCCGCACTCCACGCATATGTGCGCTGGCTCCTCGCCACCCACCGCCCCTAGCCCGTCCCCGTGCTGCGCGCGCTGGTGCGTCAGCAGCGCCGCCGCGTGCCCGAAGCCCTTCCCGCACTCCACGCACACGTACGGCTTAGGCGCCGGGGCACGCCGAGACCGCGGCCCGGCTGATCGGGCCCCAGCTCCGGCCAACGCAGCGGCC